CCCAGATACGGATTGTTAACACAGATTATAGTGGTGCAGAACTGCTCAGAAATTAGACTGCCTCCCGTGGATGCAGTAAATCTATTGGATCTTCGTGTTGATGCAGTTCAGTACAGTATTGTTGGTGCGATTTTTATGATAAGCCAAAAATTGCATTGATCTCTTAAACTTCTCTTTGAAAAAATCCTGCAGGCAGTGCTCCAGTGCATCTAGCTGCTGCATGGATACCTTGTTCTGCAAATATTTTGTGGATTTGTTGTAGGTCTTGGTTGTCCCAGGCTGATGCTTTCTGAAGGGATTTGCAAGAATACAGCCGTTCAGGCATGAGGTGGAGATTGCGATGATGGGAGGAAGGAAAGAGCTAATCAAGCAGTTTGAGGTAACTGTTTAACTTGTAGCTGTTGCTCTGACTGATTTACTTAAACTTCATGATCATAGAGCATACCTGTTCTCATTAATTTCTGAATGTTGAGAAGGGGGCGTTGGGATCTACAGTCATCATGGAGACTGGAGAAAGATGATTCTACTCTCTAGTCCAAATAGTATGTTTTTAAATTGCTCTAAAATTATTTGGTACCTCTGATTAGAGCCTTGCATTAGATGCAATATATTTTCTTAACACATTGAAAGAACACATTTTTTACCCCTGTGTAGCTTAGGAACTTAAACATGCATAATTAGGGCTTCTAAAAGTCTTAAAGTAGCCATTAAATATTAAAAACAAGGCAAACAAAGCATGTGAGAATAATAAAAGGCAAACAAAGTGAAAAAAAAATTTTTTTTTTTTTGGGGGGGGGAAATTTTTTTTTTTTTTTTTTTTTTTTTTTTTTTTTTTGCTACCTTAAGTACTCTTGTTTGCAGAACTTGGAATGTGACTACAGCATATTGTGAAAGTGCTGGATTTTGCCAGATGTGCTATTTTTGTTTCATACATGGCAACATATCTTCAGCTTCTATTTTTGATCAGCAAGGCACTGAACAGTGCATTCTAAATAAGATTGCAAAATGTTATGATTAATGTAGTTGGTTTAATAGTTTTAAGTAGTCAGGAGAGGTTTTCTTATTTCCCAAAGCGTTTAACATTGCACAAGTGCTTTAAACATTACCACACGTGGTGACGTTGCCGTTCAGTAGCTGCTTGTGCTGCGCGTGGCGGGTTTGCGCCGGTGCCGTGCGGCCTCCTCGGCGCGGCTGTTGCAGTGGGAAGCCCAAGGGCCGGCGTGCGCGGGCACCCACGGGCACGGCGGGGCCCTGCAGCTGCGGCGAGCAGAGAGGCCAGCGCTGCCCGTTCCTAGGTCTCCCCTCGATGCTCTGTGAAGGACTGGAGGGCGCTGGGGTCGCTGGCCGCAGCCTTGCTCTGCGCCCGGCCTCCCGTGCAGCCGGTAGACTGAGGGTGCCCAACGCAGGCCCCGGGTGACCTCTTGCAGGAAACCTCGCCAGGCGTTCAGGGTCTCTTCCGTTCCCTGGTGCCCGATGGAGACCCCCTGCAAAGGCACCCCAATTCCTCAGCTTCCAATCTCGCTGCTCACTTGCCTTCTGTCCTTGAACTCTTTTGACTTAGGGCAGCATCTGAAAGGAGCTCTGATTCTATTCTAATCAACTGTAGCTACATAAGTTAAAAAGTTAGCTTCTGTTTGTGCTTCTGATCATAAATGTCACACTCCTGAGCTGGCGTGAGAGAGGGTTCTGTAAGTTTTGCTGCTGCTTCACTCTTGAGGTCTTACCCTGAGTGTTTGGAATTCCCTGTGAGCTTTTGTCTCCATATCCCTTCCTCTGTCCTCCTGACCGAGCCATGTTTTGTGCACTTCATGCCCAAGAACATCAAAATTGGCTTGTGGCCAGCTGCCCTCACCATATCCCCCTTGGGCTCCTTGGTTTCTCCAGCCTGCCCCACTGCTTGCTGGGCTCTGAAAACGCCCTGCTCAGAGGAGGAAAGCATCTCTATAGGCTGAGGCACAAAGCCTGCACTGCAGTCCTTTAACAAGGCAAAGTGTCGATAGACGTTTTCAGTAAAAATGTATCAGATCAGCTTTCTTTTAGAACTAGAGGCTTTTTTTTTCTTGGTAATACTGATTTTGTTGCCTTGATTTTTTTTTTTTTAAGACAGTTGGAAAGAAAAAGCCTACCTTAAAATTCTGCAGTAAAACCTCTTTCAGCAGTTTAGATGCACAAAGAGTGCATTGCAAGTGCATAAATATTGTGATCCTCCTTTGCCTGCTGCCCATATGTTGTTTAGTTCTGTTTGCATATCTCTGAACCAAACCTTGACTGGCAGAATAGGTGACATGGAATAATAAATGTAACGGTGCAGTAGTATGATCTCAATATTAAAAAGACTTCAAAAATGGGTACTTTTTTAGATTCATCATGTGAGACCAGTAGTAAAAGCACTGGTATTAAAGCATGTTCCTCTCACCTTGCTCCATGCCTCAGTACTTTTGTCATGACCCAGTTACTCTGTTAGCTGCTTACCTGAACTCACAGCCTGTGCAGTCTCTGTGAAAGCAGAGTGAAATGTCACAGCAGCAATGCAGCATGCAGAACAGCTAAGGAAAGCAAAGGGAACTGATATATTGTGCCCTAGAAACTTACTTTTATACAGCTATATATCTATAAAGTTTATATATATATAACTTTACGATAATAAGATAACCAACTTTGTATTTGTGACCACCAAATCTGAGCATGTAAGAACAATTACTACTTTTTTCTTCCCTGTACAGGTTTGCTACCTGTAACATGAATCAAAAATGAATAAATGCATGCAGATGATACATGCAACTCCCCCTTTTTGTGGCCCAACTTATCATACTGTGTACCCTTCTATACATGGATATCCTTCTTTACAGCATTCAGCATATGCAAAGCCAACCCCTAAGAGCTATAAGCACCTTCTCTTACCATCTGGTTCAGTGTAACAGGATTAGCTGTACAATTTATAGAGCCCAGCAACACACCACTATTCATATGATACAGGATACTTGCTTACTGCACTTCACGAGTGCTTCAGAGGAAAGCTCTGCTGTGTGGAAACATTGAGTCATAATCAAAAACAGCTTAACAAATCACAGTTAAGGGGTTGGCAAGAAGCAGTCACAATGAAGTTACAATTTGCGTGCAAATCCTCTTACAGCTCTACAACCTCTCAAGTGTCCTAATTAAGACTACTGAAAGAAACTCCATGGAGTAGATGTAATAACTTTGTTTCCAGAATTTGATTTGTAAGCTGTGAGTAGACATAGGGCCATCAGTTGTTAACACTTTATTTTCTCAAAAACATATAGATTTTTTTTTTTAATTATTAACTTTGCTTAGCTAACTTTGCTCCTGGAACTTCTCAAGTATGGAGTACATTACTTGAAAATGCTATTTTAAAAAGTACTTCGGTTGTAATATTATCTACAGGGAAGTGAGGCAACGCTAGGAGCCAGTGGGTTACTCCAATCTCTTCTTCTAGTTTTCCAGAGACTCAGAGCCTCAGTTAGCCCGAAATCCACATCACAGCATGTGTATTGCTTAGCAGTTTCCTAAATGGAGAGAAGGGCTTTTTGTTCTCTCAAACTACCGCAGAGCTAATGTTATAGCTTAGGAAATTCGTGTCACTATCAAGTCCTTCACTTTGTTAAGTCTTTCCTAGTATTTAGATCCACAGTTTGGAGGTTGTTGCTCAGTGTGATCTCAGAGCTGTCAATTTAAATTAAGGCATTTGTGCATGTGATACACATGCAAAGCGAGTACTTTAATAATACACTTCTATAAACTCTTCCATGTTTTTTCTCTTATGGCTTTAAAATAGAAAATGATCTAGGGCAGCTTCCTTCCTCGTTTCTTGTAAAACACAGCTTCATGAGCGTGAGTTTTGGTAGTGTTTTAAATCTCCTAAATCCCTCTAATGTCTCATTTACTAGAAGTTTGTATTTCCGTATGCCTGAAGTGTTAGGGGACGAGGGTTTATCCAAGGATTTGTTTTCAGCGAGTGCGTTGAGACGCACGCCAGCCGCCTGCGTGTTGCGGGAGAGGAGCTGGAGCTGCACAGGAGCAGCGTTTTGCCAGTGCGAGGGTAGAAGGGGCCCGCTCCATGGGCTCCATGGGCCTTCTGCGTTCTTAGAACTACAGTTGCAGGAACATGCCACGTCCGCTAAGTTTGCCCTCTTTAATGTTACTGTGAGAAGTGTGGAGAGATTAGTTGGAAAAACTGATAGTTACGGACTGTTGTGCTCTGAGATGTCCATGCAAGTTGAGTAGTGGTTAAGTGAACATACGGCAGGAGAGAGTCCTGTGGGGAAAGTACTGGGTGGTTTAACCTGTCTAGGGTGCTGTGCTCATGGTTGCTGCTTGATACCAGCTCAGGGATGCTTTGGAGGGTGTCTTACCTCTAACGGCGCTTCCAGAAAGCCACACTTCCTTGAATGCCTTCAGTAGTGTTTTCTTAAGGAATTACTGTCTCTGAGGTCATGTAGTTAAGTGGTGATCCCAGTCTTAATTCTGAATCCGAAGTACATGTCAAAAACAAACAAACAAAAAGCACACCACCACCAAAAACCCAAACCTCTTGTGTCTTGCTGTTGGCAGCCCTAGGTCAGGAAGACGCTGGGAACCCAGTGCCTCTCACTGATGTCTCTGCTGGGCCAGGCGTACGAGCACTGCTTGTCTCCTGCCGTGGCTCATACAGGCTGTACCTTCAACCGTCACTGTGAGAATCAGGATAAATCATGATATACCTCAAATCAGCCAGTTTTGAATGTATTGGTTTGGAATACTGAAATAATTTTTCAGAAACATGGGGACTCAACTTTAGCCGTAGCAAGGCCTCTGCTCCACTGTCTTGCAGTTAATAAATCACCTTAGATTTAGAGGCTTTCCCCGGAGCCCATTGTCAACATATGTGTCTGAAAAGTGAGTGTATAAATAATTAAATTTTAATCTGGCACCTGATGCATAGTTTTTAACTTCCAGTCTCTCTTTTCCTGCACCTCACCCACCCCTCTGTCTTTGCGAAGCTGCTGAATCTCCCAGCAGAGCCGGCGTAGGCCCCGTGGTGCTGGCGGTGATGGTCACCGTGCCCGTCTGCGTCCTGTCCCTGGTCGTGGTGCTCACTCTCTGCACCTGCCAGAGCCGCCGCTGTGCGTACAGGAGGAAGAAGCAGCCAAACGTCGAGGAGCCCCTGTCTGAGTGCAATCTAGTGAGCTCTGGAAAAACGCTTAAAGATCTCATTTATGATATGACGACATCTGGATCCGGGTCTGGTATGTATGTATTGCTAAGCACACTATATCTAAGTCAAATATAAATACACCATCTTATGCATAAAGGGATGAAAAATATATTTCAAGCACAGCTGCTGCAGCTACCTGAAATTTGTTGTCTAAAGGCCAGTGTTTGGGGGGTTATTTTAACAGACTCTTAAACCTGCAATAAGTTCTATGTTAAGGAAGGTTTTGTACTGACACAGTGACTGGTTGGCTTGGCTGCACACTTAAGAGATGGAAGAATTTTATTGTTATTCCTTTCTGTCAAATAAGAATAGTTTAATGAAAATGTCAGCTTTGATACTTCTTTCAAATGGAAAAGGTTTTAAAAAGTCCCTTCAGAATTTTAAATATAAAATGAAACATTACTGTCTAATATGTCATAGTTGATAATAAAACATATTAAATTTAACTGAATGAGTCAGAGTGCTGCTTCTGAATTTTATTTTGGTGTTGCCAAGCATTATTCTTAATGGTTCTTTTGAGTAGAATGTCAAGAGTTTTCTTTTTAATATTTCCCTATTTCCATTAGCCTAGCTGCTATGTTGCCTATGTTGCCATTGAGAAGTTGTTAAATTAGAGATATAAAAATGAAACAGGACTTCCAAAATCTCGTTTCATAAGATTGGAAGCACATCCACCTTGTGTGGTCCAATTTTCTGTAGCAAGCTGGTCTGAAAATTAACGACTACCCATAAGGTCAGGTATGTCTGACAGTAGTTCTGATGCCTCTGCCTTTTGCTGGATAACTTGGACTTTGGCAAGGCTGCTATCACAGGGGTAGAGCATGGGAGTGTGCCTTTAAAACAAAGGTGAAATCAATTATTGTCCTCAAGATTTCTTAGCACCTGGGTAGGCAGTCCTTTTTTGAGAAGAAGAAAATGCTAAATAGGTGAAAATTCAGTACACCTTTACATGTGATATTTAAGACTTTTTGCAAAAATTGTTCTTATCCCAGTCTGTATGCTCCCACTGGAATAGTGATCTGTCTAAATGATGATAAAAGCGAGCAGCAGGATACGCACAGTTGGGGATGGGGTCGTTTCTGTGGCAGAACGGTGATGGTGCTGCCCGGTGATGGTCTGGCAGCTTCGCAGGGCGTTACCTTTGCTGCTGCACCTGCCCCTTCAGGGGGTGTGCAGAATATAGGCCTAGGTCTGTGAATCTGGGACAATGTAGTTCCTGTTTTGTATCTGAACCATTTTTTTTCTGTGCCTGATTACTGCAGTCTGTAGTAGCTTTTTACACATCAATCATAGCTATTTTTTTCCCCTCTGTGAAACATAATAGTAAAGCTGCACTGATTTTCCAGGCAGAACATAGTGTACATGGCATTTTTTTCAGACATTTTTATTTTTATTTTTATTTTTATTTTTATTTTTATTTTTATTTTTATTTTTATTTTTATTTTTATTTTTATTTTTATTTTTATTTTTATTTTTGTGTCCTCTCCATCTGAAAGGGTACTTAATTTGCTGTTGTGAACCAGACTAATTTTTGTTTCCTGACCTAATCTACTGAATTCTTTCCTAAGTATAATGAGAGTTTTCTGGTATGTTTTCACAGACTAATAGATGCCAGTCTATCACTGATCTGCACCAGAAGTTAACTAAAGATATATGAACTGTGGTCTTTTGGTGTGCTCGGGGTTGGTGGAAGGGAAGGCTTGTGTGCAACTTTCCTGAGGACTGAGATCATCTTTTCCTTCTAGAGACACAGCTAATGTACATTCACTTGGCCAATATAATTCAAAAATATTTTTGTGGTAAATTTTGGTTGAGATACAGTTTTTCTTAGGTACTCTTTGAAAACAAAATCATGCATTGCAACTCACTAGAAAATCTCTAACTTTAGAATTTTAAATTGTTTATAAATTATTTCACAAATACTCATGTTCTTTTTATATTAGGTTTGCCTCTGCTTGTGCAAAGAACAATTGCAAGAACTATTGTTCTTCAGGAAATAGTAGGAAAAGGCCGATTTGGTGAAGTTTGGCATGGAAAATGGTGTGGAGAAGACGTAGCTGTGAAGATCTTCTCTTCAAGAGATGAAAGATCTTGGTTTCGGGAGGCAGAAATCTATCAGACGGTTATGTTGAGACATGAAAATATCCTGGGTTTTATTGCTGCAGATAACAAGGGTATATTGTACTTCCTAACTTAATTTCACGATTTAAAGCTGCCTTTGAAGCAAAATATTCATCTTGCTGGAAATTCTGACCACCTACCTCTGGCTCGGTTTTGTTTCCTGCCCTGCCATCTCCTCAAATAGGAACAAAACTTTGAACTATGGAAGTTTCCAAAGCATTTATTCTCATCTGGGAAAAAAAAAATCACCTGTCTACTGTAAAATACGAAATCTGCCCAGGCTGCCAGTCCTACAGTGCTTCTGCAGGAGAGGGGCGCCCGGGCCAGGAGAGAGCCTGGAGCAATGGAAAATTCAGGCCAAAGGGGGAGGACAGCCCAGAAGTCCAGGGGTTGTACAGGCCAAGTGGGAGAAGGGGAGAAGCCAAGATCTCCAAGGAGGGCAGACTTCCCAATCCCTAGTTTCTTTTTTTCTCTTTTCTTTTTTTTTTTCTCTTTTCAGCACTTTTAACGTTTCTTCCTGGCATTACTAATGTTATATATAATCTTTTTGTCTGCCCTCTTGCCAAGACAGCAGGCTGATCTACCCAGTGTTCATAGTGCAACAGCTTAGCGAAGTTGTTGCTGTCCACCAGAATCTCGCCCAGTTTAGAAAACTCCTGCCTTTGTATGATTCAGTTCCTCATAAATCAGTTATCTGTTAGTGGGAGCTGGGAGAGAGAAGACTGACAAGCATCAAGTGATAATCCTACAATAAATCCCATATGGATACATGTTCAAAGATTTCATAGGCTTAGGAGTCTGTTATCTCGGAGTCTGGAGTAGTATTTTGGTCTTGTTGCTTTCTGAAGAACTAAATGTCCATTTTTCTATTTACATACATGATACAACTGGTAAAATACAGCTGAAATCATTGTTTCTTTATTGTGACCAAGCTGCACATATGTTTTGGTCTTCATATTTCAATCTATATGTACAAAGAACTAACACTTTCAAAATAGATCAGTTTATATAATATAATGTAGAAAGCAGTAGAACATACTGATAGTCCAAATATGGCATGTGAAAAGCAAATCATCCCAAAATATTCTACTGGAGTATCTGTGAGTTTGGTGAAGACTTTGTTCCGCAGGGTCCAGCTGGATGTTCTTGGTTGCATTAGGTGTCTGTTGCTGCTCCCTGAGACGCCGTAGTGCGGCAGTGACTTCCCGTGGGCAGACTTTGGGAGCGTGTGCTAAGGGGGTTTCCTCACTGCATTCTCGGAGCTCTGGGAAAATGCTCCTCACAATATAGAGATCCCGATGTTCATGTGCTTTGTAATGTCCTGCTGACCTTTTGTGCAACGTTTCTTTTTTCAGAACACTGATATTCAAAACATTCCTGTAGCAGGGCAAGACGTAAACATTCTTCTGATTTTATTTACCTTTTCTTGGCTTTTTTTTTTTTTACTATATAAAGGTATATAACCCTATTTTCTCTTTGTAGATAATGGAACTTGGACTCAGCTCTGGCTTGTCTCTGAATACCATGAGCAAGGATCCTTGTTTGATTATTTGAACAGAAGCACTGTGACTCTTGATGGTATGATTAAACTGGCACTTTCAATAGCCAGTGGCTTAGCACACCTTCATATGGAGATAGTCGGCACACAAGGTACCTGGTCTTCCTGTCACATGTTCTCAAAATATTTTAAGGAACGCCAGGGCTATTTACAAAAATGTTAGTTGTTTTTGCATTATAGGTTTTTTACACGTGTATGGTGGTGTACTACACGAAATAGTATTAACATAAATGTATATGATAGAGTATAAGTAGGGAGTAGGAATATAATGTTTCCAACAAAATTTAACAATACTTACAACTTAGAGAACCCAGATTTTATGAGTTTCAGGACTATTTCTACTGCACCATGAATAAAATAATATGGGATAGCCTAACAAACCCCCCCTCCTTTAGTATTTAGTGATACATGGGTTACTGGGCTGATCTGTGTCCAGCAAAACAAAACTCTCCATTGCTACTGAGGTGGTAATGAAGTGGCCACTTTATCCAGTCAGCTGCTGAATTTGTGGAGTACAGTGCTATAGCTAATTTTCCAAGTATTTCAAAAAATACGCATCATCTGTCTCCTCTTTGACTTGTTTAGGTGAATGTCTGTTAGAGCCTTTGTTAAAGGAGTTTGTTAATGAATTAGTTAATTAATCTGGAGCACAGTTTTACAGTTTCTCTCTTTGTGTTTTATTCCTGAAATACATATATTTGAACAAAAATGTCTTTAGTCTTTTTATTATTATTTTAATAGCGTTTAACTGAGCTTTACTTATTACAAAACAGGTTTCAGTGTTTTTACATGTTTCGTAATAAAGTTGGATGTAATAATTTGTTTACTTGCCCATTATATCAAAATTCTTATGCTTATCATCCCAAATGGTGCCATTTTCTTTTTTGTTAACAGGCAAACCAGCTATCGCACACAGGGATCTGAAATCTAAAAACATCTTAGTGAAGAAAAATGAAACGTGTGCTATTGCGGATTTGGGACTGGCTGTGAAACATGACTCTGTATTAAATACAATCGACATACCTCAGAATCCTAGAGTGGGAACAAAGAGGTGAAAACACTCGAGTATATTATTCCTTACTCATCTGTTGTGGAAGTACTTTTCTGCAAAGGCCTCTGCTTGTTTCTTGCTTCTGTTACTTGCCTTCCCTCTTTGCTCTGACATCTACCTAAATTACTGGCAACAGATCCAAGTCCTCCATCTCTGCTGGCTATATATAGCACAGACTCCCACACTGGAGGATCGTACATATTCCCCCCACATTTAAAGTTTATGCAAACAACTTAATGCTAACAATGCTGCTTTTAAATTTGGTATTAGACAGCAGGCAGGCTGGTGCTTGTGGCTTACGCCTGTGCCCACAGCTTTAGGGATGCAGTTGTGACAGTAAGTAGTGGCGTTAGCTCAGACTCCTTCTGCGCAGCCCGGTGGGTGTCTGCGTGCTCTTTCCCAGCAGTATGGCAGCTTTCTTGCTTTTTCTCAGGTTCTCTTAGAGAAGGTGCCTTTCTTCCTGTGTTTTACTGCAGGGATGGCATTCTCAGAGCACAGCTTTATCTCTGTCTCAGGCTCCTGATGGCTTTACCCATTCCTCTGGCTTTGCTCATCACCAAACTTAGTGAAAACAGATTGTGTGCTGAGGTGAAGAGGAAGCACACTGTCTGGCCAGATACGCAGCTGTGTTGTGTATTTATGTGGCTGTGGTTGTTAAGCACGTGGACATGTCTTTAATCTGCAAAGTTCTATGTCTTTCATATTCACAGTTGTCCTTTTTCAGCTATCATTTATTTTCTTGCTATTTATTCAGCCATCATAAAAACATTACATTAATGTCTATGATCCTGTCCCAAGTGCTTCTGTCATACAGCTGATTTTTTCAGTTCTACTTTCTGAGAAAGTTGTTTTTAACAAAACAACCCAGATTTGAAACAAGGAGGGATAAGCTCCCGATTCCTTTCCTGGATTTGAACATGAGCCAGCAAATACGCCCTTGTGGCAAAGGTGGCCAACGGCAAAGATGGCTTTAGGAAAAGCCTTGCTGACAGGTCGAGGCAGTTGGTCCTTCCCCTCAGCTGTACTCGTCCACATCTGGAGCTCTTGTCCATACAAGGAAGACGTGGACATAGTGGAGCAAGTGTAGCAAAGGGCCATGGAGACAACTAAGGGACCAGAGCATCTGTCTTAGGAGGAGAGGCCGCGGGAGCTGTGACGGAGCTGGGCTAGCAGGGAGCACTGGGCAGGGGTGCTGGTCCAGACAAGCTGCAAAGGTCTCTTGCGTTCTTAGGTATTCTGTGATTTCCGAAAGGAATTTGACCTGTTAATCCAGTATCTCTTTGCTAAACCATGCAGGGAGAGGCTGATCCTGGCCTTACCCTAATACAGATTGATTATCCCTAGAATTTTCTTCTCATCAACAGCAGCAGTACCACAGAGAGGCACGAATCGGCCCGTGCTACTCAAGGCAGCTCTCCTGTTCATTAAGTGCCCAGGCAATTGTTACCTCTGCAGGTAGGATTAGAGCCTGTCCCCCAAACTGGAACATGGTTCTGCTCTTTAGATGGCATGTTGGTCAGAATATTTCTATAGGTACACTTTTGGAGGTAGTTAGAGCACCGCTCCTAGAGTTTGGACGAATCCGGATGATGCCTGGCAATGTGGAAGGCCCGGTGTCGTGCTTCCAAACTGCTTGCTTCTGTCAGCAAAGTTGTTAGTAGTTGAGGCTGAAAATATCAGCAGCAGAATAAAATTGAAGATTAGTGTTTTTAATTTCTCATTATTAGATTTATCACTGAGGCCAGCTTTCTTGTGTTCACTCAGAAGCGTTGTAAAAAGCAGTGTTTCTGTTGTTGTTGTTTTTTAATGTAGAATTTTGTGCTCTCTGGCCCCCTCACATAGCAGCACAGTTGTTTTCTTTTGTAGAAGCTTCCACTAGCAAACTTGTCTTTATATATTTAAAGGTATATGGCTCCTGAGATACTTGACGATGTGATGAACATGAACATCTTTGAGTCGTTCAAACGTGCAGACATATACTCTCTTGGTCTCGTATATTGGGAGATAGCAAGAAGATGTTCAATCGGAGGTAAGAGTTCTGGCCTTTTTATTTTGCAATCCAGACTAATCTTATATTAAGTACAACAAAAACAAGGAACTGGGCACCTCCCCTCACCTTCTCAATTATCTTGGCAGTATGTGGAAGTAGAAATCTATTGCTGAGTATTGCCCTCCATGGAGCAGCTGTTGGTACCAGACTGCCCAGAGATGTGTGTGCATACAGGATCTGGGATAACCATCTGGATCAGAATGGGGCCCGCGGTCTGTGCCTGCTTGTGCTCCTATTTCAAGCCACAAGAAGCAGGGTAGCCCCAAATACCCCTCTGTTCCTTTTTATTGCCTACAGAAACAATTAGAGTTTATTTGGAGCAGCTGCTTCGCATTTTTGTCTTTTATCTATTCAACAAATCTCTCTTAGGAATCACTGAGGAATACCAGTTGCCTTATTATGACGTTGTGCCTTCTGATCCTTCGATAGAAGATATGAGAAGGGTAGTTTGTGAGCAGAAACTGAGACCAAATATTCCAAACCAGTGGCAAAGCTGTGAGGTAAAAGCAGTTTTCCAGTTCATAACAAAGCATCTTTAAATTAAGATAGTATTTTTTTTCAGTGAGAGGAAAGGTACTTAATGTCCAGTCTCTGAAGAATTTAAATATTTCAGGTATCCAGCTTTTCTCCGCTCCACGATTAATACATACAAAGCTGTCTTTGTATGAAATGCTAAAGTTCTCTCTGTTCTGTATTCCTGTTGGACCGTTGTTCCAGAGAGCTATACTTTATCTTTCAGTGTTGCATTTAAAAAGAAAAAAAAGAAAGAAAGAAAGAAAAAAAACAGGGCCAGATTATGGTTGACCTTTTTTTTTTTTTTGGTGTTTTTTTTTTTTTTTTTTTTTTGAATCTGAAGGTGCTCCGAGTAATGGGCAGGATAATGCGGGAATGCTGGTATGCTAATGGAGCAGCTCGGCTGACTGCACTTCGTATTAAGAAGACAATTTCACAGCTCTGTGTGCAGGAGGATTCCAAAGCCTAACAAATATCGTTGGAAGAAGAGGAAGGAAAGGATTTTCTTGTTCATCTTTTAACATGTGATATTATTTTTATTTTTGGTCTACCTCACATAATGTGGTTCAGTGTTTGTGTGCCCCAAGCAGAGCACTGACATCAAGCTGCAGAGTTGGCCACTGAAAGGGGCAGCTTTTGACTTGCAGTTTGTTTCATACAGCAAGTCACTGAGTCACCTTGGTTTTCTAAGGAAAAACAGTCATTACATAAACAGCAGAAAGTAGCTTAAAACAACACTACAGTCTAAAAATAACTTTTGCTATTATTATGCTTTTTATCCTAGTAAAACCCCAAATATATTGCAAATAGCCTGAACTGTTTTCAAGCCTGTTTATAGAAGAAAGCACACGTTTTATCTTCAAGACAGGCAAAAGATCAAATTTAATCAAGCTTTTTACATATTTGTACACAGATATCTGAAAAGTGGCTGTCAGTAAAATGCATTTTTAAATACTATATTTATCATTACCTAAGGAAGTAAAAAAGATGAAATTTCTACTAAGCGTGTATACTGTGAACAAAATCATCTAGTTTGTTCCTTATTAGCATTTATTTTTATGGTCTTGATTTTTTTATAAAATATTATAGTTAGGATTTGCAGTTACTTTTTGTTCATTTGAGCTGAACATATCAATTAAGGACTTTTTTTAACCAGTTACTAGGAAAAATAACACAGGTGATAATTTTCTGATATTACATAGGGATGAAATGGGAGAAATTCTACATAAACTATGAAAGTATGTATTTTTAAATAACATTTCGCCAATATGTCACTGGTAACATTTCTTAGTGCCTTTGGATGTTTTATTACACAGCTTTAACAAAATTAATTCCTGTAAAACGGTTTAAAAAAGCCAAGCCAGAAACGAGTTCCTCATTCTCCCTTTTCATCCCCTTTCCCCAGCACAGGGCCCGGGGTGAGATGAGCGCAGGGGAAAGGCTCGTCCCTGGTCACAGCGGTGTCACAGCCCGGGCCGCAGTGCCCGTGACGCCGCAGCGGCTGCGCGAGCAGCGCCCATGACCACAAGATTAATGCGCTTTCTGCCACCCGGCTTCCTGACACTTAAGATGAATATTCCAGGTGTACTCGCGCGGAGGATTGGATCACCATTCGTTATGATCTGTCAAAGATTACAGACCCGATAAACTCGGGGCGGGGGCAGTAAATGTAAAGTACTGAAGTTCTGGCACAAAGCCCGAGGTGCAGAGGTTCCGTACGGCTTTCTGTAATAGCACCAGGTTGGTGAAAGGCATGCGTGTCTCTAATCTTATTTCCATAATACTTCAGGGTATAGAAAGTAGCATTTTTTTCAAAATTCCTTAATGTTCTGTCATGTGATTAATAACCAAGATGATACATTTCATAATAATCATGGTTCTTTAAATATCTCCAGATGCAGGCAGTCCATGGAAATTAAACCCAGAGATGTCTCCAGTGTAGTTTGGAGGAAGGAATCTTTGCAAAATATGATCTCGCATGCACAGATCTGTGGAAGTGAGCTTATTAGCTAATTATGGTATCTAAGATCAATCTTTGACGTGAAACCTCTTGAATTTTACAAGGAAGAGTGGGATAAACTGTTAACGAGTGGGGCAGCCAGTCATGTCAGTATTCCCTGTTTCATTCTGATACACAAACTCTAGGATATTATGGTCCCTTAAGAATGTTGGTTGCCCCGTGAGCAGGCTCTATTGATACTTACGTGTTTGCATAAAGTCTGGTCATTTTTGCTGTGTTAAATAATGCAAGTCTTTGTCTCACTTTATGGTCTGTTAGCCAAAATGTGGAGACTGTTCCTGCTGGATTGCTAGTAGTTTTTTACTGTATGCTTTTCAAGATGCAATCAAAGTCACTGCATAGATTTAATTCACAAATGCTTCAAGAGCATGAACTATACCAGGCAGTCCACCAGGTGCAAACGTTGCAGGCTTTTCCAGGGGTAATCACGATAACTGTGTCATATTGCTTACACTTTTGTACAAACCCAAAGGGCGATTTTAATCACTTCAGTAATCAAAAAAAATGTGCATACATAAGATTCAGCATTTGTTCTTATAGAACATAACTCTAAAGAAGCCCTTGAGTTAAAAAGGAAACAATCAAGGTTTTTTGTTGTTTGTGGGGTTTTTTTTGCTGTTTGGATTGGGAGGAATGTCTAATCTATTGAAATCAACTCTTACTGGCTTTGCAGAATAAGTTGTCTAATATCAGTTAAAGGAAAACAAGAGAAGTTTTAAATAATAAGCTAATTTCAGGACAGTTTCTTCAAAAGTACTTAAACTGTGCAGGTGGGATTAGCTTTTCACAACACTGATTTCACAACATTAGGCACCTTCAGGAAAGAGCCTCAATGAAGCAGCCGGTCTTTCCAAACTGCCCAGCACTTAACAAATCCTTTTAGCTTTTATTCTGAAAAAAGAGGATCAAATATTTCTGAATAACCTGAGCAGTATATTAAAACATGCATTAGAAACAGGGCTTTAGAACAATGAACAGCTGGCCAGGAGGGGAGGGGGACAGGGCTGCTGAGCCCTGCAGGGACCTGCTTGCTGGTAGGTGCCCTGCAAAATGTGGAGACCATGAGAGACCATTAGGTTACCTTGTACGTCTTTAAAAATATATTAATTCATTGTCTAAAATGGAGGTATTCTTTGAACTTGCCAGTGATCAGGGCGTTCCATAGGAAATTTTAGCCTTTTTGCTTGCATTCCAAATTCAGTTCTATGCACTTTTAGCTAAAAAGCTCTCTGATTCTTTGAAAGTGTCTGTGTCCTTCAGTGGTATCTGGTAACTGTTTTTAGATCTTCTTTGCCTCTAAGGTAGATTGTACAGTGGTGGATCTGGCATTTATGCAGAGTCTCCTGTGTCAGAAACTATGCTAGACTAAAGTCTAGCAGTGAAATTGGAAAATGTGCTTTTTGGCACGAAGCCTGAGCAGCCTTTTCGGTGACCTGCTCTTGGATAACAGCTGGAGGACACTTACAGAGGGGTTTAGTGGTTAGTTTAGGAAACTGTCCTCAAATAGGTGACACTCCGTCCTGGCTGTAGGTACCGTGTTGCTGCCGCCGCATGGTTATTCCCTGAGGGCCCCGTCCTGTCCTCGGGAGATGCTGCTCCGGCGCTGCCCCCGGCTTGTGCGCACTAGTGCCCTCGCAACAATTTAATCTCGTTTTTGTTAGGAGCTTTATACCAGCCTCTCCCTCATATCTGCAAGAGTCCGAAGAGTCTCTGCTAAAATCAGGATTTTATCAGTGCAGGGTTGTTGCAGGAGGAGAACCTAGTCTTAACTTACTCTAAGGAATATTAATCCAGTCTGTAATGGCTGTATGGCATGTTCTGCACTGCATTTTTTCTAGGAAAGTTAGGGAAATGGGTCCCCCTCCCAACTCCTTTTTCCATATACCTCAAAATCAGGAAAGAAAGAAAGAATTTCTGCTTTGTTGTTTTATCTCCTGGGCAGAGAATCTGACACTGAAGCAGCAAAGGAACCTGCAGCTGGTTCCTGTCTGGGGGCTTCTTTCGGGGAGCCGCGCACGCTGCCGCGGTGCCGTGACTGCCCTGGTGCTGCAGTGCCCTGGTGCCGCTGTGCGGGAGCTGCCACGGTACCGTGGTGCCACGGTGCAGGCGCTGCCATCACTGGCACCTCGCAGCGATTCCCTCAGGCAGGACGTGTGCAGGGGAGCTTAAACAATATATTTTTTTGCTTCATTTTGACCTGGCTTTGTACAAGAATAACTGCCATAAGTAATTCTTGTGTTGTTGGTTGTAAATGCTACTTTTTTATTTCTGTCACTTTTGTCAGTCTTACATGTTGGTGGATTTTTAAATTACGGTTATTTAGTTTCCTTCATAGAGTCTCTGAGGTTATTGCACAGTCCTGAGTTCAAAAGACGTCCATTTGGATCTGACCAGAGCGCTGTGAGAAAGATACTCTTCTCGCTAGACTGTATTCAGGTTTAGCAATACCTTTACAGGTCACGGCTCCATTCCTAACAAACAGTTTAGATTTTTTTCTTATACGTCTTATAGGGTGAAAAATTTTAGTCTGTTTTTCCTGGCTTTTTATTTAGCTTAGTACTTTGGCATTGATTTTCTTCTTTCTTCATTTGTTCTTTGCTGAAGGTGAATTTTAGTAAGCTGGATTTAAAATATAACCGATCCAAGTGGCTAATATTGCTATATTAGCCTTTAAAAATGCTTATAAACCATATGCGCCTTCACAAAATGAAAAGATCTTGTCTTAGTCACCTTTTCCCTCCATGCAGAATCATCCTGCTCAAATCGGGAGCTAGCGGCTGTGCCTGGGGCTCGCCGGGTGTCCGAGGGGGCGGAGGGACCGCGGCGGCGCGGCCGGCCGCCCTGGTGCGCCAGGGCACTCGCCTCATCTCGCCTGTGTTTCTAGTTCGGGGACGTTACTGTTAATTGGCTTTTAATAAAAACCTCAAAGTTAATGCGTAGGAACTGAAAGGGAAAATTAGTTAATTCACCTTTTCCTCTAGCATCTACCTGTTTTTTGTTTCTTTAATGCTCCTTTCCAGAAAACACTCCCTTAGCAATTCACTGTTTCATGTAACTCCTTTTGCACTCTGCTGTTTTTATAGTCATTTGTGCTGAACCAAAATTAGTCCCCTATGTAATTCTAAAATGATTTCTGTAATATTTTGCCATTGTTACTTCACTGGCTTTTTTAAATATAAACTATAGATAAACTAGTTTTAAAACAGGCCTAGTCCCCACAACAGATCTTGGGCTTGAACAGGGTGAAACCTTCCCATGTCCGCAGGGATCCCACCCTGCCGCGCGTGCGGTGGGGCTGCCGTGGGGGGCAGGACCCCGGCCGGTCCTTGCTGAGGGGCAGGAGTTGTTCCTGGCCCGCTCCGTGCGGCTGGAATCGCACGGGAGGAGCGCGCTGCGCCGCGCTGCGCTGCACTGCTCTGCGCTGCGGGATGCGGCCTGGCGCTGTGCTCCGAGCCCGCTCGCTCGTCCCCCTCTCCAGGCAGCTGCCCGGGGCAGCGGGGGCCGGCCGGGCACCCCTGTGCCAGGAGCAGCCCCCTGCACTCACAGCCGAATCGGAATCGGGCCCTTCTCCTAAATGCAGCCGAGACCTGCGGTTCCTGCACGGCGCGTCTCGTGGGGCCTGCAGGTCCTGCTCCTCCCGTCCCATCCCGGGTGAGCACTCCGC